TATCTCCTTATATAGTTTCTTGGTTCCTTTTTCTTCTCACTTCCTGGGATTCCTATGACTGTTAGATCTCCTTTCCTCATGGTGGCAGCTAGTCCTCGAAGTGTTTCCTCTTTCTTTTTCCTTTGTAGTTCTCTTTCAATTTTTGGTTCTTTTTATATCTGTTTCTTCAAGAGTATTGATTCATTCTTCCATTTCTTCTGTTCTATTTTCATGGCTTTTTCCATGATTCTTGAACAACTCCACTGGATACCCTCCAGTTCCTTCACTTTCTTCTTTAGGGACTCCTTCCCCTTCCTTGGTTCATAGGTTAAATTCTTTTCTCTTTCTATGTTTTCTCTTAATTCTTTAATTGTTTTCATTATGGGCATTTGAATTCTGTATCTATTTGGTGGAGAGACTCTTCTGTGTCCATATTATCAGATTCTGGAGGTTGACTTTCTTTATGTAATATATTGTTTCCAGAAGGGTCTGCTTGATGATTTGTATTTTTCTATCTTCACATTGTTAGCCTTTGGCGCTGCTGTGTTCATAGTGTGCCTGTACTGCTGGTGCTGGTGGGTGTGACTTTTGATTTCTCTTTCTGAGGCTGGATGTGTCTGCCTAGTGTCTGAGGCACTGTGGATGGTGGGTAGATGTGTAGGTAGGTGATGGCCCTTGTGGTTACCCGCCTCCTCTCTCTTTTGCTGTACCCCTGCTCTAGGCAGTTGGAAGTTCCTGTCACTCTTCCCAAGACATCGGGACTACCGGACTTGGGAATTGGGGTTCCTGAAGTTACCACCTGCATACACATCTGGACACTCTTCCGTTATGGTGGGTGTTGTCCTGAACTGTGCTTTGCTCCTAAAGCCCCTGTTTTTCCAGCCCCTACTATGTAGGATGGGATCCAGCATCTTAGACTATGTTAGTGAAGAGTCTTATGTGGAGTATTACACCTCCAGACACACACTGAGGCCAAGTCCACTGCTTGTTGCCTGCAGGGTGAGTGGATATACTTCTCTTGAACTGCTAGGTCCCTCTGTATTATCCCAGCATAGTAGGATTGAAAGAGAATAAGGAGTGAAAGAGGGAAAAAGGAAAGAGGGGTGATTTTGAAAAGTAAAAGGAACAAAGATGAGAGAAAAAAGGGCTAGATGGGGGAAAGGGGAGAGAGGACATAGGAAGAGAAAGAGAATGGAAAAGAGAAAATAGTGGTAATAATATTAAAGGGGAGAAAGGAGGAAACAGAAAAGAGAAATAGGGAAGAAGGAAAGGATAAACAGACAACCAACTGAGCAATAATTAAATAGTTACACAAACAGGTGAGCCAGGAGGTTGGGGGGGATAGCTTCTTAGGCCTCTGATGGCTCCCACTGAGCTAGTTGTTGCTATTTTAGTTTGGTCCCCTGCATGGGGGTCTCCGGCATGGGGGGCTCACCATAAAGCTGAGTAGGATAGTCTTCCTGTCTGGATATCTCCCTTGTAGTGTATTGAGGGAGGATTAAAAAAATAAAAAGCAAAGAGCAAGGATTGAACTGTGGGCTGTCCAAAAGTCTGGCGATCTCCACTGAAGCTTTGTGTATGAGAAGATCAGCACCCTTTCTGGACCTGTGAGGTGGTATGGTAGGTGTGGGGGCTTCTGAGGCCTCTTTCCACTTGAGGGCTTTGGGTATCAAGAGACCCCAGTATAGGTACCAGTCTTGTGATGTTCAACCTGATGCCTTTCCCACTGGTAGCTCCAACTAGTTAAATGGTAAGCCCTTCCTGGATCTGTTACATGGGCCTACAACCTCCGTTTTCTGGTATAGGTGGTTTGTGTTTTGTTCTGATCAATAGATGGCGTCAGAGACATCTCTTAGCAAAGTTTCAGAACTGTGCTTGTCTCTGGGAAAGGGAGTAAGGGGAGGGAAATGCCACAACAAAGGGTCTTACACCAGGGCTGGGTGCCTGCACCAAGGCCTGTTTGCCTTCCTGTCCAAACCTCTCAGATGTCTCAGGATTCCCTAGGTGTCATGGTCTCTAAGCTTTTCCTCTTTTTCCAGTAGAGGAAGTGGACGGGCTTTCATGGTGGGGGGGAGGGAAGGGTTCCTGATCAGTGATTTTCTCTCCTCCCTTCTGCATCTGGGCGAATCACTGGTGTCGCCAAGTTTATCCAATGTGTCCTGGTCTCTCCAAGAACTAACCATTATTTCTCCCTATCAGTTCTTTTTATGGGAGAACTTAACCCTAGTGTCCCTTTGCCACCATGTTGTTGAAGTCATTTTCCCTGGGCTTTTTTGTTCCCTATATCTTGTATGTTCCCACTGTATATGTTTTGTTTATATAGTCTCCGCTTCTTTTATCCCTTAAAAAGAATATCCCTGTGCCCTTTAATTTAATTTTTTTTTAAGATTTATTTATGCATACAAGAGCTGGGGTACAGGCCAGAGGTAGAGGGGGTGAGAGGATTCACCACAGACAAGAGTGGGGAGCAGAACAGGCAGATTGATGGAAATACACTGCTGAGGGGAGCAGCAGTCAAGTCAGGAGATGTCTGTGTCACCATGTGGGTTGCTCCCTAGCTGGCCAGGGTGCTGCAGTGTCTGCTGATAGCTTCATAGGTTGCAACTTAACCTTTGTGCCACCAGGGAGGCACCCTATATCCCTTTTTAAACTGTAAATTTGTATCATACAAGTATGGCTGTCCCTGATATCTTTGGTTCCTGTTCTCCTTAGGATTATTTTCCAACCCTTTTCCTTGAGTATGTGCTTATCTTTGGAGTTCTGGGGTATCTCAGGGAGATGGGAGATAGATAATGTTTCCTGATCCAACCAGATACTCTGTATCTTTTAAATTAGTACTGTCTCTTTTCCTTTCTCAGTTCTTTGTGTATGTTCCTCAATTTGGCTTAGATGCTGTTTCTTTCAAAGGGAGCTATTTTCCTAGTTCTTGCAGGACTCCACTTTTTGTCAGAGAGGCCTTTATTTCTCCCATACATGTAAAGAAGAATTTACAAGTTAGTGTACTTTTTTTTAAAGAATTATTCCTTTATTGTAAGAGTTTTATTGAATTTTACATAGAAGAACAGGAGTGTAGACCAGAGGTGTGGGTGTGCAAGGATACACTAGAGACAGAGTGGGCAGCAGAACAGACAGATCTACTGAAATACACTGGTAAGAGGAGCAGAGGGCAAAAGAGGAGAGGTGTGCTGCAGCATGTAGGTCAGCTCCCTGGCCAGGATCAAACTCAGGTCATAGAGGGATAGCACTGAGATATAACCCATAGGCCATCAAGGAGGCCACAGCTTACTGTATTTTTGCTGGCATTTGTTATCTTTTAAGTTTTTGATCTTGTCCTTCCAATCTCTCTTTGCCTGGAATGTTTCTACTGAGAAGTCCAGTGTTAGCCTGATCTGGATTCCTTTATAGGTTATCTGCACCTCAAATCACCAACTTCAATATTCTTTCTTTTTCCTCAGTTCATCATTATGTATCTTCATGTATATCATGTTGTTTAGACTTCCTGATGTTCTTTTAAAACTTACTGGATTTGTGTATTTACTTTCTTTTCTTGGTTTGGGAAGATAAATATAATACTTCTTTATATATGTTTTCTATTTCCTCTCCCCATTTTGGGATGCCCATTATTCTTCTATTACCTTTCTACATGGTGTCATCTCTCAGAGTGGTTTTGTTTTTGTTGTTGTTGTTGTTTTACTACTTTTTTCTTTCTTCTCTCTTCATTATTTTCATTTGTGTGTCTTCAGATTCACATTGGAGATAATTATGTGCTTAGTTCCAGATCACTACAATAAAATGAATCTCACTGTAAGTGCGTCACACAAACATTTTGGTTTCTCAATAGGTGTAAATTATGTTTACACTATAACTTAGTGTATTGAGTGTAACAGTAGTATTGTTCAGCTGACTGGTAATAAGAATAGTAGGTAAGAGCTAGGGCACTGGAACAGTGAAAGGTCATTGTCTGGGAGCACCCAGGGTTTAAACCTAATACACTGATTGCATACCTGAGTTCTGTAGTTGGGATACACAGTGATCCCCTCAGCTAAAATGGTTCAGACAATCATGTGCCAGCCTCAAACCCTGAGCTGTGGTTAAGCAATACATGTAGTACCAGATGGAATTTGTAGTTGAGACAGCATCACAGCCTGCTGTGGTTCTATTTCAAACCTAACCCTGGTGTGCTTGCTTCTGTTATCACTCAGGTGCTTCAAAATGCTTAATGAAAATATTTGGTTGTTATCTTAGTCTTGGCTGTGGCTGGGGATATAGCAGGTCTTTAGCATACAGAGCCACAGGCTGCACATAATGCCTCTTCAATAAGGAGAAGCAGGTGATACATTGTAACTCTCCTAGTATAGGCTCTGTTGTGGTTTGAAAACCATAAACTCAAGTTTATGTTCCATTATTCCTATAGTTCTTCATCATTATTCCTATAGTTCTTCAGTGGTGACACACCAAACTTTATGCACCTCCTTTTCCAGTGGCGTCCACAGGTATTTTAAGTTCCCAGTATAGGGATATTTGCTCAGCAGCCATCTCTCCCTCTTAACAGGTTGTACTGCTACAGTGCATCCCAAAGAGTTGAAGTTTTCCTACTTCTTTCATTCATGCCTTCATTCTTGATATGTTCTGTAGTCATTTGTCACTTGGGTCATTGTCTTTGCTTAGGTATAATTTGATTGTAACTATGCAGAAGAAAAACTAGTTACTTCATTCTGCCACTCTCTGACCTTATGCCTCCATTTTACAGTTTTACATATAGAAATGGATTTATCTAAACAATTCTTGATTAATTCCTATTTACCAGATTTGTAGAAATAAACATATTTATATAACAGCTTGCCTTGAGCTTTCTTGGCCTGGCAACACTCAAGGAACACAGAAGTTGTAACCTTCATAAATTTTTTGACCATGTAATGTAAAAATTTTATTATTTTTAAAGATGTTGTATCTATTTCATTTGATTCCATATCTCATTTCATTCTGTATTTCATTAACTTTTACCATTTACTTTATTACAGGGCTGGCTAGTGGATCTGATCAATAAGTTTGGCACTTTAAATGGGTTCCAGATTTTGCATGATCGTTTTACTGATGGATCAGCATTAAATATTCAAATAACTGCGGCTCTTATTAAGTAAGTTATATTTATGTTAGTATTCACTGTACCACAAACGTAACTGTTTTAAATAAACTATTAAATTTCTGGTTTTTAGTTGGCTTCTCATTTTGACATTGTAGCCTAGAATTTTTTAAATATTTAAGCTAGTTTTGAAGTTTAGACTTGGTAAAACTATTGACTTAGAGAAATTTTGTGTTTTTCTTATTTCAGACCATTTGGACAATGTTATGAGTTTCTCAGTCAACACACAGTAAAAAAATACTTCATTCCAGTTATAGAGATAGTTCCACAGTTTTTAGAAAATTTAACTGATGATGAACTAAAAAAGGAGGCAAAGAATGAAACTAAAAATGATGCCCTTTCAATGATTATTAAATCTCTGAAGAATTTAGCTTCAAGGATTCCAGGACATGAAGAGACTGTAAAAAATTTAGAAATTTTTAGGTTGAAAATGATTCTCAGGTATATTATTTCCCTTCTTAAATATTTATCTTCTTGATTTTTCCTGTGATACTTAATCCATATTTCTCTTATAGATTGTTGCAAATTTCTTCTTTTAATGGAAAAATGAATGCTCTGAATGAAGTTAATAAAATGATATCTAGTGTATCATATTATACTCATCGGCATGGTAATTCTGAAGAGGAAGATTGGCTGACAACTGAGAGAATGGCAGTAAGGCCCTTTGATTTCTCTTCTAGAAATAAGATTCTAGTTAAGAAACACTAGAACAACATTAATGGAAGTAACAAGGACAAAAATTTACTTTGAAATTTGGAGTTCAGTGACCATAGACTCTAAAATAGCAAATGGTTTATTTGGAAATGGTAGAGTAACTTAATGCCTTGGGTAAAGTTATAGTTTTTGAAATCAATTTACTTAGTGTTTTTAATTGAGGTAATACTAGCATATCCTCATTAGATGTTGCAATGGTAGCATATCTACAACCAATCACCCATAGCCCACTTCATAGTGCACTGTGCTCCTTTTGATCTTTTTACCCCTTCCCTTGTCTTTTGAGTGCTTCAGTTTTATACTCAACTTTCAGTGGTAGGATTTTAAGTTTGTCTTTATCTGACCCTAGTTTGGTTTCTCTATGGTCCTCATATTAGTGGCATCAATTGGAAATTTATCACTTTTTAATGTAGTTGCTCACAATGAAGTTAGCTTGTTGGTTGAAATGAAATAGAGGTGGGCCTTCCCTGTGGCGCAGCGATTGAGCGCTGGGCTGCAAAGCTGCCCACAGCCTTTGCAGCGCCGGCTTGATCCCCGGCTGCTCTCCAGCCTCTGGAGGAGGATCCCACATGGCGCGCAGACCTCTCCTGCCACCTGCTGCTCCCCTCGGCAGTGTACTTCAGTCCTTCTGCCTGCTCTGCTCCCCACTCTGGCTCTGGTGAATTCTCTCACCTTCCCGTGCTTCCGACTGTACCCAGTGCTTGTATAAATAATAAATAAATAAATCTTTTAAAAAAAAAAAGGAAAGAAATGAAATAGAGGTAATTTTTGGAAGTAGATAGATGTGGGAATTGTAATGACTTGTAAATACTTTACAGTTCATTATCATTAAATGGAATTAAATACAGGTTATTGTATTATGATGGGTTTTTAAGAAATGATAATGGAGATAAATCTGTGAGGAATAATCTCTACTGTAGGGAGTCTTTAGGTTGGAAATGATAAGAATGTGATCACTTGGTTGGTATGAGATAATAATTTTAACTTCATGTAGGGCCTAGGTACACTAACTATAATCATAATGTTTATTATAGCACAGGGAAGTGCAGGGAGTTCCCTGTGGTCTTATACTAGCAGTTATATCTTCTAACCACCTTCATTGGATTCTACCACTCTTGCTTTTTATTTTTTTTAATTTTTATTTTAATTTAGGGAGTTGCATGTATGCTTTTCCACAGTCAACCAAGCCAATTTGCCAGTACCCCAAATGCCTCTCTTCCCCATTCCCAGTTCCCTTCGGGTAACCATTATATTCTTTAACTGAGTTATAGATTAATTTCAGCATGTGTTTTGTTTGTTTAGGCCATCCAATATAATGATACCATTTCAGCTTTATTCACAACTGTGCAATATTCCATTGAGTATATTATCCATCTCTTTTTTTTTTTTTTTTTAAGAGTGATTTATTTATACAAGCATGTGGGTACAGGCCAGAGGCGTGGGAGGGTGAGAGAATTCACCAGAGACAGAGCAAGGAGCAGAACAGGCAGATGGACTGAAGACACTGCTGAGGGGAGCAGCGGGCTAGACAGGAGAGGTCTGCCTTGCCATGTGGGGATCTCCCTGGCTGGCCGGGAATCGAACGGACACTGCCGGGGGTACGGACAGCTTCACAGTGCTGCGCTCAAAACCCTCTGAGCCCAGGGGAGGCCCTATTATCCATCTCCTGAAGGGCATTACGGTTGGTTCCGTGATTTGGAAATTGTGGACAGCACTGGTGTGTACATAGGTGTAGATTAATCTTTTCATATTAGAGCTTTCATGCACTTTGAATAAATCCTAATAGACGTATTCTTGGGTCACATGGAATTCCATTTTTATTTTCTTAGTAATCTCCATACCATTTTTCTCAGGGGTTGCGCCCGCTTCCTGCATACCAGCAGTGATTGAGAATTTCTTTTTCCCAACCTTGCCAACATTTATTGATTTCATTTTTTTCTTATATGGGCCATCCTCACAGTGGTGTGATTTTAATCTGTGTTTCCCATGTAAGTGATGTTGAACAGTTTTTCTCTTATTCTGTTGTCTGTGTGATTGTCTTCTTTAGAAATATGTCTGCTTAGATCCTTTACCCATTTTTTATTACATTGTTTATTTTATTGTTGTACTATGTAAGTACTTTGTAAATGTTGGCACTTAACCACTTTATCATGTGTGTGATTTGCAAATATTTTTTCCCACTCTGTAGGTTGTTTTATTGTTCTGTGATGGAGTCTTTTGATGCACACTCAATTATTTTTGCTTTTGTTTACCTTGCCATTGGGCCTAAGTTCCCATGTTTTCACTATTATTGCTGTGTTATATAGTTTGAAGTCAGGAAGTGTGTTACTTCCATTTTTCTTTTAGGATTCTATGTAAATTTTATAATTGCTCTATGGTCTTGAAAAAGAGCAGTGGTGTTTTGAGAGGTATTGCATTGAAAGTATAAATTGCTTTAGGCAGTTGAAACATTTCAATGAGGATAATCCTTCCAATCTGGATAGTTTTGCATGTCTTTGTGTCTCCTCTTGTTTGCTTTAATATTTCTATAGTTTTCTATATATAGATCCTTTACTTCATTTATTCTTCTTTTGTAACTGATAATAAATGAGATTGTATTTTATTTCTTCTCTTTTTTTACTTCTCTAGGTATATTAACATGTCTGCAAATAGTGACAGTTTCACTTCTTTTCCAACTTGGATTCCCTTTTATGCCTTTTTCTTACCTAATTTCTTTGGCTAAGCCTTCCAGTACTGTGTGGTAATAAAAGCCATCCATATTCTTTCCCCTGATCTTAGAATGCTTTTCAACTATTCATTACTGAGTTGTCTGTATGTTGTCATGTATTGCTTCTATAATGTTTAAATAAGCTTTGCTTATTTCCATTTTTATTGTTTTTTATCATAAATGTATGTTGAACCTTGCCATACTTTTTCGTATCTTTGAGGTGATCATGTGGTTTTTATTTTACTTTTTTTTAAGATTTATTTTTTATTTATACAATAACTGGGGTACAGGCCAGAGGCGCAAGAGGGTGAGAGGATTTACCAGATACAGAATGGGGAGCAGTACAGGCAGACAGACCAAAGGCATTGCTGAGGGGAGCAGCAGGCGTGACAGGAGAGGTCTGCTGTGCCATGTGGGAATCTCCCTGGCTGGCTGGGAATTGAACCTGCACTGCGGAGGCTGCAGATAGCTTCACAGCGCTGCGCTCAACCTGCTGCACCACCGGGGAGGCCCCTTTTATTTTACTTTTTGTTGATGTGGTGAATTACAGTGATTGACTTACCTATGTTGAACCATCTTGTATCCCTGGGATGAAGCTTGCATGATTGTGATGGATGACTTTCAGAACATGTTGCTGTATTTGATTTGCTAGGATTTTGTTGAGAAACTTTGCGTCTTTTCTCGTCAGAGATAGTGGGCTTTATTTTAGGGGGCGGATTTGTTTGTTTGGTACTGTCTTTGTTTTGGGGATCAGGATGTTGGCCTCACAGAATAAGTTGGGTAGTTTTCCTCTGATATTTTTGAAGAGTTGGAGGATAGACTTTAGATCGTCTTTGAAGGTTTGGTAAAATTCACTAGGCTTTTTTTTTCCCTCAGGGAGACTTTGATTACTCTTCAGTTGCAGCATTTGAACAGAAACTGTGTAAGCTGTCTATTTCATCCTGATTTAAACTTGGAAGATTCTAAGAGTCTAGAAATATGTCCATTTCTTCTATGTTGTCAAGTTTGTTTGCATAAAAATTTTTTTAATAGGTTCTTAGAATCCTGTGATTTCTGCAATATCTTTATTTTGCCTCTTAAATTTCTGATTATAATTTTTTGGGTTTTTCTCTCTTTGTATGTCTAGCTGAGGTTATGTCAATTTTGTTTGTGTTTTTCAAAGAGCCAACTGTAGGTTTTATTGGCCTTTTGAACTGTGTTTTAATTTCCTGTTTCTTTAATTTTTGCTAAAATTTTTTGTATTTCTTTTGGATACTTCCATTCTTTTTCTTGTCCTTCATCTCTAGAGTTACCTTGTTTGAGATTTTTCTTGATTTTTGTGTCCTTTTTTGTTGTAGAAGTACTGCTTTTAGAGCATCCTATGAGTTCTGCTGCATATGTCTCCATTTTCATTAGTCTGTTTAATTTCTGACCTCATCTTTGACTTCTTCATTGACAAAGGAGTTGTTCAGTTGTTTATCTCCTGGTGTTTTAGTTTATTCCAGAATTCTTTCTCTAGTTAATCTGTAACTTAACAGCACTGTGACCTGTGAAGGTATATTTTCTGAGACATGTTTTATGTCCTATTGTATGAGCTGTTCCTAAGGGTGTTCTAGTGCACTAGAGAAGAAAATGTATTCATTAGTATTGAGATGGAAAACTCCTTAAGTTTTCAATAAATTGAATTGTACTAACACTTCATTTAATTAATGCCTTTATTTCTTTGTTAATTTTCTGTCAGTGTGATCTATTCCTTATTGTCGCCAATGTATTGGGGTCTCTGACAACAATTGTATTTTTGTGAATATGCTTTTTTGTTGTTGTTTTAAAGATTTATTTTATTTATTTATTTATGTGTACAAGATCTGGGGTCCAGGTCAGAGGTGTGGGGGTGAGAGGATTCACCAGAAACAGTGGGAGCAGAACAGGCGGATGCAGTGAAATACACTGGTGAGGGGAGCAGCGGCAAGACAGGAAAGGTCTGCTGCATCATGTGGTGGGCTCCCTGGCCAGGGATCAAACTCTTGTCACAGTAGCTGGCAATAACTTGAGAGTGCTGAGACTTTAACTCCTCTACCCCAGGGAGACCCTGAATATGTTGTTTTAGGTCTGGCAATGGTTTGTGTAGGTAGGTGTTCTTCAGTTAAGTACATAGATACTAAAAAGTTTGCCTTCTTGCTGAGAGTTGTTCCCATGATAATTACAATATAGTGTTCATCTTTGTCCCACATTCCCACTTTTAATGAATAGTTTAGTTTATCTGGTAGAAAATCCTCGTCTTGCCTGGGAGAGTAGATACCCTGGCTAACATAACAAACTAGAGTATACCACCCAAGCCACCTCACACATTGTGAAATTTCCAGGCATGCGTATTGCTTTATTTGCTATTTGTGTTTGTGGTTAGGGCACTGGGGATTTAGTTTTGTTGCTTTGCTTTTTAATTTACCTGGATATGAAGTAGAGGCAAAAGGGGAGTCCGTTCCTTTCATACTTGATCTAAATGGAGGGGTGGAGTTGATCACCTCTACTTCCTTTGTTCCACACAGCAAGCTGTATACTGTTGCTTAGGGTGTATTAACTTCAGTTCTGCCTCTCTGCTGCTCCTTTCCACCATAGGTCATTATCTGTTAAGCTTGAGTTTCCCAGTTGGGGGAGCTACATCTGAACCACAAGGCTCATGCTCCAATGCCAACTTGTGTTTGGCAGACAGAGGGCACAAAACCTGAGTGTGACTGGCAGGCATGTTACATCTCATCGCTGTAGTTGCCAGCAGTGGTCTTATCGCTTCACTTCCACTGTTGGTCTTGTTGACTGCACCATCTGCTCATAGCTTACTTACTTTCCCAAGGAATTGTGATCTCTCTCTCAATCCTTTTTTCATACTCAGTCTTTATCTCTTAGCTGTCTTCTCATAAGTGACTGGAGAAAATATAACTAATTTTCTCAGACTGTGCCCACAGTGTTCTCACTGCCCCTTTGCATATCAGCAGTTTCTCCAGGGAATTTCACATTGCCACTGGTTGCCCCATCAGGGCTTGGATAGTCCTCCAGCCCATTCAGCCTGCTGAAATGTTTACTCTCCAAATCACACACTCCCCTTTTGCTTCCTCTTGTTGCTTCCCCTCAACCAACAACCTAGGATTCTGTAGATAGGATGGATAGTCTGGATCATTCAATGAGTAAAATTTTTTTTTCAATAGTTGTTTTTAGGGGCAGTTCTAAGCTCTCTGTTCTGCCATGTTATGGTTGCAAACCCAAATTCTGTTTTCCTTTTTGAAAACATTTTACCTTCTACTATGAAACAAAATTTTGTATTACATTTAGGAATGGATACAACAGAACAATATTTTATCCATAGTCTTGCGAGATAGTCTTCATCAACCTCAGTATGTAGAAAAACTAGAGAAGATTCTTCGTTTCGTGATTAAAGAAAAAGCTCTTACATTACAGGATCTTGATAATATCTGGGCAGCACAGGTAAGGAATTTAAGATACTGGCTGTTTTATCTTTCTAAGATAGAAAAACAAATCTTGTGAAAGTCATTATGTAATGGCATGTGAGTTTGTATTACTTAACTTTTTGTAAGTTTTACGTTAGCTATTCATAGAATCCCTACCAAGAATAATTTTTAAGTTAATAAATGTTTTCTCCATTTTGACACTGTTTGCCAAATGGCATAAATTATAAATTACATAAGATATGTGTATAATATACAAGTTTAAAACAATTATAAATTGAGTATTTTTCTTGTGAATTTTATGAAGAATAAAATATAACAAGACTAAGATTACTTATATAAACGTAAGTTTTATAGAAGATTTTAACTTTCCACTTAGAGAAATTTTTTTGGTATCAGAAATATTAATGTATAATTTTTCAATGATAGGTCTTTTCATGATCATTTGGCTGTATTATTAAACTGTAGATTATAGGTTTTTTAATTCATTTTATGGAAATCAACAAAATGTTTGCTCTTGCCATCATTGAATACTTTCAGTTATCAGTTTTAAAATAATTAACTTTTTAAATTTAATTTTGAAATAATCCTAGTGAATTTACATATGAATTCATTAGAGTACGTTAACATTCAGACAATAAAATTGACTACAGTTGAATAGAAATAATAATTCCAAAGTACTGAATGCCATTATAACCTCAGATGAAGCAGGTAGGAATATTTTATTAGTTGGTGAAGTTCTCATAATTACATAGTTTCTTTATTCAAATTAAGTTTTATGGAGGGGCTGTTTGTTTTTATGTCATGTTTATCTCTTAAACAGGCTGGGAAGCATGAAGCCATTGTAAAAAATGTACATGATCTACTGGCAAAATTAGCTTGGGATTTTTCTCCTGAACAACTCGATCATCTTTTTGATTGCTTTAAGGTAATACAGTTAAAATTTACCATTGACTACAATAATAATAGTCTAACCTATTTCTTTTTTAGAAAAATTAGGTTATTTTGTTTAAACAGCATATTTATTAACACAGTTCATCAAAAAATATGTAGAACAGTTGTTTATGTTGCCTTTTAGATATTTTTAATATATAAAATGCCAAACTGCTTTCCAAGATGACTATAATTTTTTTTAATTTTATATATTTTTTATATCATTTTTAATTTTTGCACAATGTATGCGTTTTCATCTTGGTTATAGTCTCCATATAATTCCCACCCATCCCCACTCTTATTTTGATCCTATTCCCTCCTCCTCCACCTACAGAGTGTCTCTGGTTTATAGTTGCTTGTTGATTTTAATTTTTACCTTACTATAATTAGTCTTCTTCCTGGTCCCTTATTTAGGTTTTCTAAGTTCCTTCTATGAGTGAGACCATCTGATATTTTTCTATTTCTTTCTGGCTTATTTCACTGAGCATGATCCCTTCCAGCTCCATCCTTGTTGCTGCTCATTGCATGAGTTTATGTTTTTAGATTGCTGAGTAATACTCCATTGTGTATATGTACCACATCTTCTTGATCCATTCATCTGTTTTTGGGCATTTGGGTTGTTTCCATAGCTTAGCTATTGTAAATAGTGCTGCTATAAACATAGGGGTGCAGGTGCCCTTTTGAATTAATGTTTCTCTGTCCTTTGGGTAAATACCTCAGAGTGGAATTGCTGGATCATATGGAAGCTTCATCTTTAGCAGGTTGAGGAATCTCCACACAGCTTTCCATAGTGGTTGGACCAGTTTGCACTCCCACCAGCAGTGCAGGAGAGTTCCTTTTTCTCCACATCCTAAACAACATTTGTTGTTGCTAGTTTTTTTAAAATACGTGCCATTCTCACTGGTCTAAGATAGTATCTCATTGTAGTTTTGATTTGCATTTCCCTGATTACAGGTGATGTTGAACATTTTTTCCTGTGCAAGATGGCTCATTTTACATTCCCTTTTGCAATTTTGAGTGATCCATAGTTTTTCCTTCTTTAGAGATATAATTGGCATAAGTATTTTTTAGTTTCATAATGATTCCATATTTATATATACTGTGAAAGAATCACCAAATAAAGTATAGTTTAACTCCATCAGCAGGTGATCTCACCTGGTTGAGGTAACATAGTATCCCATTTAACCTCTCTAAACTTACCCCTTTTCTATAGTGTACTTTATTGTACTTTTTGGAAAGAAGCCACGGTGTTCAACTTATATAAGGAATGGAATGCTAAGTTCTTCCACAAACAGTATTAACCTCTTCTTTCCCACTCATTTATCCAATCACTTACTTCATCAGTATGAACTCCTGGATATGTATTTTACACACACATCCCCAAAAAAGATTCCACTTCAAGGTGGAAATGTGTTTTGTAAAACACAAAGAATGAAGTAATGGTAGTGGACAAGATTTGCATCTTTCACTGAAAAAAATAAAATAAAACCCGTGACCACACATCGTTGAAAAACTATTATTTCTTGTAATAAGAATTTACAGGACTTCTTTTAGGAACTTTCAAATATACAATACAGTATTATTCTAGATACCATGCTATTAGATAAATGATCTGTTTTTCCATATCCTTGCCAGATTTTGGTATTCTTTTTTCACAAAAAATTTGTTATTTATTTATGCATACAAGAACAGGGGTATAGGCCAAAGGTGTGGGGGTGAAAGGATTTATGAGAGACATTGTGGGAAGCAGAACAGGCAGATCTACTGAAATACACTGCTGGTGGAAGCAATGGTGAGACAGGAGAGGTCTGCTATACCGTGTGGGTCAGCTCCCTGGCCAGCATTTAAACTCATGCTGCAGTGGCTGAAATAGGTTGATAGCGCTGAGAATTCAAGCCATGCACCACCAGGGAGACCCTATCCAAACAGTACAAAGTAAAATCTCCTTATAGTATTTTTATTTCCATAATGACTAATCTGTTGAACATTTTTCATGCATTTACTTAGCTTGTGTATCTTCTGTCTTAAAGTATTGTTCATTCTCAATTAAAATATTGTTTGTTACTCTGTTTTCTTATTCCTGAACTTTAATTTTGTATGCCACATGGTAGTTGTTTGTGAGACATTAATAAGCGTTTTTTCTCCCAGCCTGTAGTTTGTTTTTTCATTCTATTAATAAGATCTTTTTGCCAACAAAGTTCTTAATTTTTATGAGATCCTCTTTATTCCTTTCTTTTTTTTTTTTTTTTTAAGGAGAGGACACTTGTATGTGCTTGCTTGCTTTTTAAAGATTGATTGATTGATTGATTGATTGATTGATTGATTGATTGATGCAAGCACATTTATACAAGCACAGTCAGAAGCGCGGGAGGGTGAGAGAATTCGCCAGAGCAGGGAGCAGAAAAGACAGACTGATGAAATACACTGCTGAGGGGAACAGCGGGCATGGCAGGAGAGGTCTGTCGCGCCATGTGGGACCCTCACCGGCAGCCAGGGATCGAACCGGCGCTGCATAGGCTTGGAGCAGCTTCGCAGCCCAGTGCTCAACCACTGCACCACCAGGGGAGGCCCTATTCCTTTCTTTTTTTCATCCATTTTTCTCCTTAGTTTTGATGTCGAAATGAAACTCATCTTGCCCTCCCATAAAAGCCAAAAGACTTTTTCCTACATTAATTTTTCTGAACATTGTATATTTTTATTTACATTGATCTATTTTGATTTTGTGGTTTAAGTTTCGATTTGACAGCTGTTAAAGCAGAAAGCTTTTTTTGTCCTCTTTCTATGCCCAGTTGTTTCTCTATCATTTAGTGAAAGACTGTTTCATCTTGCCTACACTTTTTTTCAGGTATCAGTGGGAACTCTCATATTTTCTGATTTGGTCCATTTGTTCCCCCTCTTCCCCCGGGGCCAGTACCACAGTCTTTAATATTTATTACTCTTTGAGAGTTTTGAGAATGGTGTACTTTCTCTTTTCACTTCGTAGTTTCCAAAGACTCTTATTGGGGTCTCAAATGGGCATGCATTATACCTTATATTGTCAATTTGGGGAGAATTAACATTTTTGCTATTTGAGTCTTTCATTCCAAGTCATCTCAGAGTTGACAACTAACAGGTATCTTTCATCTTTCACTGTACCAGCTTGCTGATTTTTTGTATATTGATTAACTTTCAGTGAAATCTGGAGATGTTATAAGACAGTATATTATAAATCTTTGGGATTTTTAAAACCTATTTTTTCTGGCACCTCTTAGGTAAAGGAAAGAATTGCTCTATTGTTACTACCAAGTGAAGATTGAATTTTTTTCCCCCCAGGAAAGACTTTACCTTTATTCACTCAAACTACAGATAGTTCATCATGGTGTACAGAAAACATTTATAAAACAAGTGTTATATAACCAATGCATTTTTTTTAATTATTTTATTTCTATTCCACTTCATTTTTGCAAAGAGTTATTCTTTTTTTAACTTTATATTTTACATCATTGTTAATTTTTGTACAATGTATCCTGTATGTGTTCTCCTTTCAGGTGTATTCCCTGTAAAATTCCTACCACCAATTCAATCATGAGCCATCACCATATCCCTATCCTCTTCTCTCCCCTATTTATGTCCCTCTACCTCTACCTCCTTTTCAGAATGTCACTGATTTATAGTTGCCTGCTAATTTTGTTCTTTTTATTATTTTTTTTCCTGATCCCTTATTTGGTTCCCCTATATTCCTCATATAAATGAAACTGTCTGATATTTTTCTTTTTTCCTTCTGACTTACTTCACTGAGCATAATCCCTTCTAGCTTCATCCATGTGACGCAAATGAGATGAGTTTGTCTTTTTGATTGCTGAATAGTATTCTGTTGTGTATATATACCACCCCTTCTTGATCTGGTCAGAGGATTGAATTCTTTATTCCATTGTAAATCTTTATCTTCCAAGATGGGTCTTGCCTTATAAAACTGATGATGGGAATGAAGTTCTGACTCTTTATAAGACCTCCCCTGGCACTGCTCAAACAGGGACTCCTAAGTACTATTGCATTAAGATAGCTATGAATTTCAATTTCTTCACTTTATCAACACTTATATATATCTCCTGACTATATATCTACCTTTACATAGTAGATCTGTTACTGGACTTGAAGTAATACACAGTTTTGATTTGATATGTCTTAATGTTTAGTGATGTTGAGGATCTTTTTATGTACTTATTTTGCATTTTTTTATTTTGCTTCTCACATTCTTTATTGACAATTTAAAGTTAGTGATTATAGGGTTTAAGTTGAAATGAGAGGAATTTTTCTGAAATTTAAATCTGTATGCCCCATGAGTAATTTTCATTCTTTCAAAATGAGATTTGGGTTATTAAATGCTCAGTTGTGCTAGTGGTTTTGTGTTTGGATGTGATTAGTTGAATGTGGACTATTCAAAGACATAATTAAAGCTGTGATGAGCTAATACAAATATATTAGATATAATATATAATGTGTAAATTGTGATGTAATATGTAGTCTGTATATTACATATACTATGAATTGTGTAAAATGGGTAAATTGTGGTACTGACATTTTAAAATAATGTCTTTACTAGGCAAGTTGGACAAATGCAAGTAAAAAACAACGTGAAAAACTACTTGAGCTGATACGTCGTCTTGCAGAAGATGATAAAGATGGTTTGATGGCACACAAGGTGTTAAATCTCCTGTGGAATTTGGCCCATAGTGATGATGTGCCTGTGGACATCATGGACCTAGCCCTCAGTGCCCACATAAAAATACTAGATTATAGTTGTTCCCAGGTATGGGAGTGTTGTTTGCTCATTTTTACTGACTTGTTTCATTCGAATTTAGATTCAGTGGGTTAACAGATTGGTTAGTTGTTTTTTAAAAGTAATCTTGAATAATTAGCTTGATTTTGTAATCTAACTGGTTTATATATAATGTGATTTTTCAGCTTATTTCTGTGTCATTGTCTGAGCATCCTTACCTCCTTAGAATAACTTGTATAATAATTTATTGTAGAAGTTTAAGTATATGCTGGTAAAATAGAAATATAAACTATTAAAACCAGTGGTGACTCTGAAGGTAAGCGTACTTTATGTTTTTCTCTTCAAGTACAGCATTTAACTATAGAGTTTGTTTATAAGCCTATCAGTAGTAACTTACTTCTATTTAGCTTATGTCATTTATGTTCAGTGGTTTTAATTATGCGTTTTAAACTTAATTTTGTTTATATTGTGGCACCTGTTTCTGGAGCATTTATCAGCAGTGGCTTGCTGTTCTAATAGGATGGCTGAAGAGTTTAGTAAAAATGAAGTAGTTCCTTCAAAGCAAATAAACATAAGGATTAAATAGGGTGTTCCTGGGTTACCTGAGCACAAATAACTGTGCTTTCAACTGGACTTGAATTTAATGGGCCAAGCAAAATTAAGATTATGCTCTCAAGTTTTGAAAACTGTATCATTGTGAAAGCTAGAAGTTTTGCTAAACTGATTGCTTTCGTCAGAAATGTCCTATAACCTAAACATGTATTTGCGCGCGCACACACACGTAACTAGGTGAATACATTTCAGAAACGTTCTTTAATGGGGTATTTTCAAAAATTGGGGTTTTATGCTCTAATTGGCCCATTTAAAGTTTTTATTTTTTCACATCTGAAGAACTTGTAAATTGCAAGTCATCTTAATTATAGTCTTTTACAAAAAGATTCAAAACAAGGAGCTTTTTTTCATTTTCAGTAATCAGAAATAGAGTGGAAATACAGTCATGCATTTGGAATTTAAAGGAGGGAATTGTGGTTCAGCTATTTGACCACATGACAGTGGTATATCGTGTTTAATTCAGAACACTTAATTTGTTGCTTTACTAACTGTCTCAAATGGAATGAAGAGCTTGAGTAACAATGAGAAAAGTGTTTTGGGGAGTCAAAGTGGTTCACTTGCTATAGATGTGCAGCTATTAATTACTGGTGTCATCTTTCAGTGTCTTATACATTGCTGTTAACACTTACCTAGGTTTCATGGAATTTAGTAAGAGTTTTCCCTTCTCAATTTTATTTTTATTGTTATGAAAAACTAATACATACATCACTTTGTTCTCCATCCCAAAATTCCGAAACAGATGTGGTCATTCTTTATTGTTTATAAAGTAAAAGATAGAAACTACTTAATCTGTGAATACTCTACAGCATATTGTACAGTCATTAAAATGGCTGTGGGTGTATATGATAGCCATACTATATAATAAGCATAGTATTTAGTAACAACACTTAAAGCATGGATCTGTTTTGTTTGCAGGAAAGATAGTTTGTGCTTATAAAAATATCACCCCAGCTAGAACACATTAAATACACAGAATTGTCTCCCCGCCCCCCACCCCCATACATGTGCGGGAAGAATAATCATACCTTTTAAAATTTGTCAGGTAATAAAGCTGAAGCTTATGGTCTTAGTTAAAAAGTTAGTTACTTGCATCAGATATTAGAAATAAATTTATTCTTAACATCATTCTTCAACATTCTTGATTTCCTTTAGGTTACTACTTTAGCGTTCTTTAATATAGTCTCTGTGTGTAATTTTATTTTAATTTTAATTTTCCTTACTTGAAAATTGTCATGCTGTTATTTTCTGTATGAACTGTATATTTTCAGTGTTTCTTGCTGTGATTAGAAAAATAAGCTGACATTAATCCTATGTATGAGATATTTGGGATTGTTTGTTTATGCTCAGGTTTCATAATATGGAGAAACTATGAAATATTGAATAAAATTCAATCAATGCATTAAAGAATATCTTCTAAAAATCAGATTTCTTATGAATTATCCCTCAGAAATTTTGATGTACACATATCTGAATCAATGGAACACTGAATTTTTAAAGTAGTACTTGTTAGAGTTGGGTGATCATTTCAGAATAATATATTTACAGCATTTAATTGGATTAAACTCTTAAAATTATGTCATTTTTGCTTAATTTTGTAATTCTCAAAATAATTTTAAGATAGAATTATTGTGAATTCTGGGATATGTAAACCATTGATTTTTTTTTTTGTATGTTTGTGCAAGGATCGAGACACACAAAAGATCCAGTGGATCGATCGCTTTATAGAAGAACTTCGCACAAATGACAAATGGGTAATTCCTGCACTGAAACAAATAAGAGAAATTTGTAGTTTGTTTGGTGAAGCACCTCAAAATTTGAGGTAAGGGTATTAATATAGAAAATTTTCTGATTTTTACATTTATATGTTTTGCCGAAAACATAGCATAACCGAAAAAGCAAATTTTAATGACAGGGAGCTAAAGTGGGAGAACAGGAGCCTTAATAAACAGTTTGAGACAAGATTTAAATGGTTGTTTTCATCTGGTTTTTATTTTCTGATACAAAAGTTAAGTATTATCCAGTATTGCATAGCAATTAAGTATACATCAAGATACTGCCTTGGGCTTCTAAATCTGTCTCAGACATCCAATAGATTATACCAACCAGCATAATGCCATAGGTTGTGTTGTTTTTTTTTTTTGTTTTTTTTTTTTTTTTTTTTTGCTTTGTTTTGTTTTGTTTTAAGTCTAAATTTCATTTTGCCTTTTCTACCAGTACTCCCCTCCCCTTGATTTAATATTCATGCTTGGTCCCACAGGGAAGTATTTCATGCAGTCTTTTTATTTCCTTATGGTCTGTTTTAACATACTTCCAGTATTTTTTATTAACTTTTAATTTCATACTAGGGGATAGTAGTTTCCAAACAGGGGGTTTGAGTTTAAAAGTTAATTTTCAAAGGTAAGACTCCAAGTGACTTAAATTATGAAAGATGACAGGACTTTGTGAAATTTTTTTTATTAAGTTCCTTTTATAATAGCTAGATTTTTCTTACGTTAATTTGTATGGGATTGGTCTTCAGTGCTAAATTGTACTTAATAAAATAATATCCTTTTGTTAGTGTTGGGTATTGGAATTCATGACTTGAAGAAAACTTACATGGAGAAAACCATATGTAATTGCAAGAATGTTCAGTGTAGTTAGAATTCTTAGTAGTGAAACCAGGTTTTGTGTTAACTATCTGGTAAAGATTTTGTAACATTTAAGAGATTTACATTTCGTGATGGCCCCGATTAAAGGATCTTGATGATCCACTAGATAATATATTGCTATTAATATATTAATATGTAATTATTAATATAGAAAATTTGGTTGCTTACAGATGGATTACTATATACACTTTTCTAAGACTGGTGATTCAGTCACCAATGTATTAATAACAATAAAATAGTTACTGGGTTTCACTAAAATAGCAAAATAGGGAGGAAACTGGATATCTCTGGTGATAACTGTGCAAGAATAATTACAAATTCAATGTTCCAGAACTTAATGACTAGTATCCCTAATCACATAAATTTGTACATATACTTTAATACTGTTTTGTGTCATGTATGGACTTGGAAGAACCAGCTAATAGTAGTTTGCCTGAAAATAAGAATGTTGGGGTAAATATTTTAAGTCATTGACTGTTCTCTCACATTGCTTTATAATAAAGGTATATTGACCATGTTTATTGTGCATGTAAAATATTTTAGCTAGAATTAAGCTTTTACCTAGCAATTAGTCTGTAAATTCTTAATTACATCAATGTTCATTTGTTTTCATTATGCTGTTAAGTTCTTCTCGTTTTAGTCAAACTCAGCAAAGTCCTCATGTATTTCATCGTCATGATTTAATCAATCAGCTGCAACACAATCATGCCTTAGTTACTTTGGTAGCAGAAAATCTTGCAGCATACATGAATAGTATGCGACTGTATGCTAAAGGTATGTATTATGATATAAAATTAATTATTGGGAATATAGAACTTTCCATCCCTGTTTTGTGGGTTTTGTTTTTGTTTTCGTTTTTGTTTTTTGCTTTGTTCTCATTAATTACCTCAGAATAGACAATACATTGTTTTTTGTGTTTGTTTTTTTTTTTTTTTTTTAAGATTTATTTATGCATGCAAGAACTGGGGCACAGGCCAGAGGTACGGGGTATTAGAGTGGGAAACAGACTAACTGAAATACACTGCTAAGGGGATCAGCAAGTGAGACATGAGAGGTCTCCTGATTCATGTGGGTAGCTCTCTAGCTGGGGATGGAACTCGTGCTACAGTGGCTGCAGGTAGCTTCATAGTGCTGTGTTTAACCCCTGCGCTACCAATGATGCCGAATATGTTTATTTAAAGAACAAAAAAGATGGGTGAGTTACTTTTACAAAAACTTCCTCACTTGCAGATTCACTGAAGTCTGCCATTCTTGCATAATCTAAACTGTAGGTCAGCCTTTTCTTTTTTTTAAAGATTGATTTATTTATACAAGAACAGGGGTACAGGCCAGATGTGTGGGAGGGTGAGAGGATTCACCAAAGACAGAGTGGGAAACAGAACAGGCAGACTGAGTGAAGAACACTGCTCAGGGGAGAAGTGGGTGAGACAGGAGAGGTCATTTGGCCATTTGGGTATCTCCACTTCTGGTGGGGATCAAACTGGCACTGCAGAAGCTTTGGACAGCTTCATAGCACTGTGCTCAACTGCCAGCGCCAGCAGGGAGCCCCTAGGGCAGCTTTTTAAGACTTTGTTAAGAGCTTAACATCCTGTTTATCCTTTTAATTTTTTTCCATGTCTGGGAATTCTGCTGCTTTTCCCTAGAATTGTTCGTTAGTCTTTTGGTTATACACCTGACTACTTTAAACCTTTACTTTTCTCATTGCAACCACTTTTAACTGTCTTTTCAAGAAAACTTGATTAACAATTCACCTTTCATTAATGTTGCTATTTTTTTCTTAAATATATTAGATTGTTTTTAATGACCCAAACAGTATTTTCCATTGTTCAAATAACCTACTAAAGATTCCCTACATCACTATGCTTTTATTGGTTCTCAGAACATGAAATTGTTTAAACATGGGGATAAAATTTCATATGGTTTTATATGAAAACTTTTTACTTCATTGGCAATCTCATGGTGCTTCTCCTTGGTCCTTTAAAGGTCAATTTCAGTGTTATTTGTCTTGTGACAGTTTTATCAGTATCTGTGTTTACCAAATACTCCTTTACATTTGTACCTCCTGTGTACTATATTACACCAGATTCATGGGCATGGGAGTAGAGGTGCCCACCACCTTATAGGCTAGTTGTATATATTTTATTATGAAAAAGAAAGACTTGCTGTTACCCAGTGTTGAAAATGGGATTGAGCTAAATTTTGAGCCAGAAATTCTGCTCAGTTGACATGCATAGGATATGTAGAATCCCATTTTGTTTAAGTAAAATGGGGATATTTGTACTACCCTTTTTGGAAGAGTAGACTGTACATGTGCTCACTCCTTTAATGATTTTGGTGTATGAGGTTGTATGATAATGTCCTTATAAAAATCCTTAAGTTGTCATAATTACATACTTAATCCATGTAAAAGTTATGTAAACATAATACAAGATTATGCAGTTCTTCAGCAGTCTCTAATGATTACACCTCTAATGATTAGGGTTTTTTTTCCTATTTTACCCTATTTTACATTTTACCCTCTGAATCCACTCTTCTGTTAGAATTAGAAAAGCAATCTTAGCATTAGGTGCTACAATCCTGCTGGTTGGTTGCAAGAATCCATTTTAGCGGAATGGTAGCACAGGAAAAGCACTATAATAGTCACAAAACTTTGTGATCTATTTTATTGATTCTAACAAGAACATCCAAAATCAGTTAGGTGAGTTAAAAGTTGTTATGCCATTGTCCTAAGTGTTTTATGACCTTAAATTTTCTTGGTGGTACAGAGACCCTGTGCATACCAATACACCTTTCCCTTTCTGGGTAGTCAAGTATTATATCCAGTGATAATTTCTATTTTTGTGTGATTGAATGTGCTATTTTATTATCATTGTTAATAATTGAAGACTAAGTTACCAAGCAATTAGATGTGGCACGTGTATTTCAGCTCACTAGGATCCTTTCTTCCATTTAATCAAATTGTTATTTGCATTCTTGGCACATCTCATTTTACTTATCACAAGAATGTCAGTATTCTGGATTTTTTTTTTCCTTAAGTTAAATTTATTCAGGTAACATGGGTTGACATCACAGTATGTATCTTACAGTATAGGTTTAAACCTCTCCGAATCTGTTATTTCATCCCCCCCACAACCAAAACCCCACTAATCCTCCTTTTGATCTACTAAACCCCTTTGCTCCCGTGCCAGCACACACCACTCCTAGTAGCTTTAGTCATAGCCCAGTGTATTCTTTTCCCTCCTGATAGCATCCTTCCCTTTCTCCCCATCCTAGAAGCCTCAGATCGGTGGTCAGCTTTCAAAGTTTGTCTTTGTCTCTTTTGTTGGGTTTCTGTTTATTCCATATGTAGGTGACACAATCTGGTCTTTATCTTTCTCCTCCTGGCTTAACATAATCCTGTCCAGGTCCATTCATAATGTCACAAATGTCATAAGTTTATCTTTTTGACCTTTGAGCAGGATTTAAAATCGGCCAATCTTATAGGTGTGAGGTGGTATCTCATTCTGGTTTGATATGCCTTTCCCTGGTGATGGACATTTTTTCATATGCCTGTTGGCCATCTGCATTTCTTCTTTGAGAAGTCTCTATTGGTTTTGGCTACTCTCTGTTTCTCTGTATAGTAGCAGTAGCCTTTTTTTTAATATTGACCCAGTTATGTTTTCCTTTATTTCCCTAGCTGATTGAGATGAGTTCTTAAAGATGTTTCTAAAGTTGATGTCATTGAATGTTTTTCCTATATTCTTCTATATATTTTATGGTTTCATCTTCTTTCTAAATCTTTTATCCATTTTCAGTTGATGGTCATGTACTGTGTGATATAATGGTCTAATTTCATTCTTTTGCATGTCATAATCAGTTTTACCAACACCATTTGTTGAAGAAATTTTCCTTTGTCCAACATATATATTTATTTATCATGAATTATTTATAGTTAACCATAAACTTTTGGTTTATTTCAGGACTCATAATTCTGTTCCATTGGTCTGTGTATCTGTTTTGTTAAAATATCATGCTGTTTTAATTTTTGTGATTTTATAGTAGTATTTGAAGTCTGAAAGTATGATACCTCTTTATTCCCCTTTTCGACAGGAGACCTTTTTCTACTCCTAGTCTTTTGTGGTTCCATAAAAATTTTTATATGTATCCATTTGCATGGATAGAACAAATTGAGATTTTAATTGGAATTGTATTGAATCTGTAAATTTCACTGGGTAGGATTGCAATTTTGACAATATTATTTCTTTCCATTTCTTTTGTTGTTCTCTTTTATCAGTTTCTTACAGTTTTGTTTATATAGGTTCTTTACCTCTTTTTTAAGGTTATTTCCAAATGTCTGCTGGAGGAGTTTTTTGTGAAATTGTTAAGGGGATGGCTTTCTTAATTTCTTCCTCTTCATCTAGTTCATTGTTTGAACATAATAAGGCAACCAGTTTTTGCTTGTTGACTTTATTCTGCCACTTGGCTGAACTGTTTTGTTTTTTTTTTTTTAAAGATTATTTATTTGTTATTTGCTTATTTATTTATTTATACAAGCACTGGGTACAGTCAGCAGCACGGGAGGGTGAGAGAATCCACCAGAGCCAGAGCTGGGAGCAGAGCAGGCAGAAGGACCGAAGTACACTGCTGAGGGGAGCAGCGGGCGGCAAGAGAGGTCTGCGTGCCATGTGGAACCCTCCTCCGGTGGCCGGGGAGCAGCCGGGGATCAAACTGGTGCTGCAAAGGCTGCGGGCAGCTTCACAACCCAGCGCTCAACCGAGGAGGCCCTGGTTTATTATTTTGATTTAGTTTTCCCATGGACTCTTTGTCCATGAATATAATCATAGCTTTACTTTCTCTCAATTCCCTTTACATAGCTTTATCATCTTGGTGGTGTTTATTTGCAAGGTTAGAAATAGAAATGTATGCTTTATAAACTTACAGGTTTTTAAACTTGACACTAGTATTTAGTAGTGCATTACTTAAATCATCTGTGGTTTAGATTTACCTGTTCTATTCAATGAGGACAACAGTGCTATATTCTAATTCATAAATGATTTAATATTTATTAGAATGAAGCTAACACTTGTCAGAACAGGAAGCACTTAAATGTTTCTTCTGATAATGAATTCTTTGAACTCACTGATTTCATGTTTCCATTAACTAAGCTTTTCCTTCTTATGTATATTTTTCCATTTCAAGCTAATGCTGTTTAATTGATTAAGTATTGTTTGAGGCAGCAAGATAATATGAGGTTCCTGTAGTTCAGTGATTTTTACTGGCAGTGACAAAACTATACACTGTATTTTTTTTTTTTTTTTTTTTTTTATAGAGGCATGCTTTATTTATTTGTTTGCTGGTTTGTTTGTTTGTTTTGTTTGTACATGCACTGGGTACAGTCAGAAGCGCGGGAGGGTGAGAGAATTCACCAGAGCCAGAGCAGGGAGCAGAGCAGGCAGAAGGACCGAAGTACACTGCTGAGGGGAGCAGCGGGCGGCAGGAGAGGTCTGCACGCCATGTGGGACCCTCCTCCGGTGGCCGGGGAGCAGCCGGGGATCGAACCGGCGCCGCAGAGGCCGCGTGCAGCTTCGCAACCCAGCGCTCAACCGCTGCGCCACCGGGGAGGCCCAAAACTATACACTGTAAATGACTGTATTCCATTTAATAAGAATCTTTGGTTTTGGAAAAATTATTTCCCAGTTGGCAGGGTCAGCAGAACTTCACCTCCACTTTGATACTGTCTTAAGAAGAGTATCTTAAGGTTCTTTCTACCTTTTATACATGGTAAAAGTTCTTTTGTTTCCTACAAAGCTGATTTTTATAACAATACTTCCTATACTATGATTTGCAAATATTTTCTTAATGGGCACCAACAAAGTATAATTACACTGCAGTTTAGTTCTTTAGGAGAAAATTTGCACTGTATTCCACTTACTGATGCGTTTTATGTATTATTTTTTTTCCCGATTTTGTAGTACTTACATTGTTACAGGACTCATCACAGTTGATTAAAATCTATATTTTCTAAAGGCTACCATTTTACTTTGCCTTTTCCCATTGTCTTTGCTTTCTGTGTGACACTTAACTATAGGACCACACTCCTACAAAAAGTCTCTTTGTCAGTGTCACTTAACAACAATGTTTGATTCACTTTGTAGTCCCCTCTTATTTCTACATGATAACCTTGAGGTACTGTTAAATAAGTTGTGATTTTTTTGTGTGATTTAAAGAATATTTTAAACTAGTATTACTCATTTTGCTAACCTAATAGCTTTTTGGGACAAAATGACTGTTTTCAATTTTAAGGCTGGAATGTTCAGAATAAAGTATGGACAATAACATATAAGAAAATAATAGTGCGGCCTTCCCAGTGGCACAGCAGATTGAGCAAAGCGCTGTGAGGCTGTCTATAGCCTATACAGTGCCAGTTCAATTCCCAGCTGGCCAGGGAGATTCGCATATGGCGAGGTAGACCTCTCTCCTATCTTGCCTGCTGCTTCCTTCAGCAGTGTATTTCCGTCCTTCTGCCTGTTAAGTTCCCTGCTCTGTCTGTGGTGGATTCTCTCACCCTCCTGCACCACTGGCCTCTACCTCAGTGCTTGTATAAATAAATCTTCAAAAAAAAAAAAAGAAAGTAATAATGTTAGACAATATGTCCTGCTGAAAAGATAAGAATTCTTCTCTCGGTCCTCCCTGGTGGCGAAGGCGGTTGAGCGCCGCACTGTGAAGCTGTCCACAGCCTCTGCAGCGCAGGTTCGATTCTGGCTGGCCGGAGAGAAGTCCATATGATACAGCAGACCTCTCCTGTCTCGCCTGCTGCTCCCCTCAGCTGTGTATTTTGTCAGTCTGCCTGCTCTGTTCCCTGCTGTTTATGGAGAGTCTTCTCACCCTCCCACGCATCTGGCCTGTATCCTGGTTCTTGGATAAAAATAAATAAATCTTTAAAAAAAAAAAAAAGTTCTTCTCTCAGTAGGCAAACCTATGACAGTTTGAGCATCAAAATGTGAGTTCTAAGTGAAGGAGAATATCAACCAAAAAGTATTGAGAATAGTAATATTGACAGTTTCTCACAAATTAATTATAGAAGTTATGGCCCTTTAGTAGAGATGCTAATACTTAACATTGGGACAAACTGATGCTATGGCTTCTGAGTACAGTGTTTACTAAAAACAAAGCATTATTTTATGTAATAACCTGATTAGAAAAAAACACAAAGCAAATCCATATTGAATAACATTAACCAAATAGCATTCCCTTTAAAATAGCCAGTGTAAGAAAAAGCTAAGAAAACTCTTCATGAAGATAAATTACATGCAATTGTGAACCTGGATTTTATTATGAACTGGAATAATGAAAAGCATAAATGACATTGGTACAGTTATATAGGTTAAAACAGAAAAATAGTTGTATGTTGATGCTAAAATGGCCTTGTTTGTTATTTGGAGGTAGGTAATTGTTTTTAGGTGACATGCCAGTTTACCTTCAAATAGAATATACACAAGTGTGTATAAATGTGCTGATAAAACAGACAAGCAGAAACAAGCAAAAATGTAAACAATTAGTGTATCTGGGGAAGTATGGGTTCCTGAATTACTCTTGCTTTTTGAGTAAAAGTTTTAAATTATATCAAAAACAAAGTTACATCGTGTGCTTCTTCCCCAAACCTTGAGGAAGAACAAGGGCTTCTGCTATGTAAGTATACAGAAAAATTTTAGCCAAAAAGACAGAGTGGCACTCCAAAATTAGGCTGATAGTTCAAGATCAAAGCTCTGTAAAACCAGAAAACTTGCAGGTTGTTTAAAGGTGATTTTCAACAATGTTGGAGGCCTAATGTTTGGTGCTGTTAATAACATTTAAGAAAATAAACAATTAAGATTTTAGGATTGCTCACAGGTGCTCATACATGTTGAAGTAGAAAGCCATCATACTATTTTGACATCTTTTACCAAATACAGAGTATTTGATAAATTAAAACATTCTCTATGGAATTCAATTCTAATTCAGTTTTTTTCTGACAAAAAAAAAGTTTTGCCATTTTAAAGACTGCCACTTCCATAAGGAGTTCACAAAGTTGTATTCTATGATATTAGTACTGACATAAATACAACATACAAGAGATATACAACTCAGCAATATAGTGCTTGTGATCAAGAGGATTTACAAGATTTTCAAATGCTTTGTACCTTACACTCCAAAGCTTTGGAATAAATATCTTTGAGTTTAATACACATCACTGAGTAATGGACAGCATTTTGTAGGTATTTAATTCCACTGTTTGTCTTCCACCCAAGCAGAAAACTTCATCTAGTTCTTTTCATTCTTTTTATGACACTTTGCTGAAATATATAACGTAAGGATTTGTTTAAGGTAAACTTTATGCTGTCAACCTATATTTTGTCAAGATTTTTTTTTTTTTCTTAAGATTTATTTTTTATATACAAGTGCTGAGTACGGTCAGAAGCACAGGAGGGTGAGAGAATTCACCAGAGCCATAGCGGGGAAGAGCAGGCAGAAGGACAGAAGTACACTGCTGAGGGGAGCAGTGGGCGGCAGGAGAGGTCTGCGCGCCATGTGGGACCCTCCTCTGGTGTCCGGGAAGCAGCCAGGGATCAAACTGGCGCCGCAGAGGCTGCGGGCAGCTTCGCAACCCAGCGCTCAACTGCTGCACCACCGGGGAGACCCCATTTAAAAATCTTGACAAGGCCCTCCCCGGTGGTGCAGTGGTTGAGCGCTGGGTTGCGAAGCTGCCCGCAGCCTCTGCGGTGCCAGTTCGATCCCCGGCTGCTCCCCGGCCACCAGAGGAGGGTCCCACATGGCGCACAGACCTCTCCTGCCGCCCGCTCTCCCTTCAGCAGTGTACTTCGGTCCTTCTGCCTGCTCTGCTCCCCACTCTGTTTCTGGTGAGTCCTCTTACCTCCTGTGCTTCTGACTGTACCCAGTGCATGTATAAACAAAACAAACAAATAAATAAATAAACATGCCTCTATTTTAAAAAAAAAAAAAAAAAAAGATTTTTAAATGAAGCATCTCATGCCATAAAAGAAGAGAGAGTGTTAGGACAACATGTGCATTAATTTTTCCTTTGCTTTTACATTGGCTGACAATGAGAATTTTTCACACAGAATATGTAAATAGCTCAAACTACATACTTTTCTCTTGTAAAAGTATTTCTAACTAGGCTAGGAGTAGTTACCAATATGTCATAAGAGAGTAGGGTTTTTTTTTTTTTAAATCTCCAAAACAGATATTCATAGTGTAACTTTATCAAATGCAGCAGTATCTTCTGTCATCCTGATTTTACAGTGAATTCTCTATGGTTTTGTTTTTTTTTTTTTTTTTAAAGATTGATTTGTTTATGTATACAATAGCATGGGCACAGGCAAGAGATGCGGGAGGTAAGAGGACTCACCAGAAACAGAGTGGGAAACAGAACAGGCAGACTAACTGAAACACTGCTGAGGGGAGCAGCGCACGAGACAGGAGAGGTCTGCTGCTCATGTGGGATTGCTCCCTGGCTGGCCGGGGATCGAACTCATGCTGCAGTGGCTTCAGATTGCTTCATAGTGCGGTGCTTATCCCCTTGCGCCACCAGTGAGATGCTTTATATGTTATATTTTATGCTACTTTTTCTACTGTAACAGGTTTTAATATAGTAGAAAACTGAAGGGGAGAAATCACAGCCTGAACTTACATTGTACACAATGAAGGATACAAAGTTATGCTAAAAAGCATCTTAATAGTTCATTTAAGAGATGCTGTTTTCTTTTTGACTTTGTAAAAGATTATGGAGGTTTTTGGAGGGGAAAATAGAGTATTTGTGAATACCATTACTGCAGTTGAGGGATTATTGACTTTAATTCCTTGATTAGTCCACAGTGATACAGATGAATGTGTAGATAATACCTAATTTTTTATCAATTTGCAGACCATGAAGACTATGACCCACAAACTGTGAGGATAGGAAGTAGATACAGTCATGTTCAAGAAGTCCAAGAACGGCTAAACTTTCTTAGGTTTGTTTTAAATTGATTTTGCTTTAAACCAGGTATCTAGAAACATTGTGTCAGTATGCATTAGTGTGAAACTATTTCAGTGGTTATTCTACCTTTTAGCTAAATATTCACCCCCCATAAGCATTGCCAAAATTAACCATAGCTTTATATTTTCATTATTAAATACTTTTAAATTATTGGCTAAAGTTGTCTTCCTGCCTTTGAATTTTGGAGTGACTACATTTTAAATTTAGAATGAAGTTATTTGTTAGAAATAAGTGTTTATACATTTTAATGCTTTGAACTGTAGGACAAAACCAGTCAGCCAGGAAACTACATTTTCATTTATGATATGGTCCATGAATAGCAAGACGATTGGTCTGCATTGTTGTTTTATTTATTCTATCAGTGGCTTCCCCAGAGGCTATCTAAAGCTGTATATGATGATATTTCAATGGGAATAAAGAAAGATTTGCTTCTTATAAGGCAAAGCTGAGTATAATCTTCAACCAAGTTTAATATTAATTTTTTATATTATTAAATAATTAATTATAGGTTTCTTAGAAGTTCTATTGTCATACCTAGCAGAAAGGCATATTTGAATCAAGGCTAGGGATAATGCCAAGCCTGTTAATTTTTCATAGTATCTGTTGGTTTTGTTTGATTTTTTTTTTTCCCATATATATGCAGGGGGATTTTCTTTTTCAGAGTATATTAAATACTGTGATTCGGTTATTGAACCATTCAGCAAATTATGTGGAGATATTAACATTGTGTCTGATTTCAATCCATAGCTACTTTTACGAATTTTGTTACCTACAGATTGCTCTGATGTGTTCAGTTACAAGTATGTTCTATGTTAAAATTTAGAATCAGAACAACTTTTATAGTTTCATATCTCAAACACTTCATAATGCAATTCATTAAAGGAAAAAGGAAGTGACATTTAATACATAATGTATAACTATCTGTGAGGCAGTGTTATTTCAACTTGATTCAGTTTGAAGAAAGAAACTTGTTCAGAGTCACATAGTCATCATGAAATGAAACTGTACTACGCATATTTCACTTTAAAATCTTACCCTTTCTGTGACTGATGCTTTTACAAAACTATCATGGAGATTTATTTTGAAAACTTCCATTTTTTCTTAATTTTATGTTGCTCAGTAGTAAATGAAGGTGGGCAGGATGAGACAGGACTTAAAGTTAGAGGCTCTTTTTATTCCTGGATCTACAGTTAGGGAGATAGACGATACTGAAAATGCAACTCAAAAGAAGAAATCCATGTTAAAAAAAAAAAAACACTATGCTGGACATAAAGCCATCACCACTGATTAACTGACTTAATGATTTAATACAAAGTTAGTATTCAGGTTAAAAATAACTTTTTTTTCCACTGTCAATCTTAGAGTGGGTGGGCATTAGAAGTAGAAGCAGTCTCAGGAAACACATTGCTTGAAACAATCATCAGTTTCATTTTAGTCTTACTTTAATGGACATGTAGCCATGCAGTTATCAAGCCCTAAAAGACATCATTGACTACTGATAATTCTGGTTTGTAAATATTTCTCCAGTGACTATTGATGATCTTAGTGGTTCCTCACAAAACAAATTTAAACATTTTCTTTATTTTCGCAAAATATTGAGTAACTTCAGAAGTTTGTATTTTAAGTAACTTTATTACAGAGTTCTGTTATTTCTGAAAGTCACTTCCCAGTGAAGCCATAAAAGCTGGGACCTAATCAATACCTGATTTCAAAGGCTAACTTCTTGATATTAAGGAGCAACCTTTACTATTTACTTCTAATCACCCTCACAGAATTGGTGACACTTTGAAGTTGCTCTTATGCTTTATAAATAAATAACTTTTATCAGATTTTTTTCTGCATGACTAAGAAAGTTTTTTTTGGTCAGGCTACCCTTCTAGCTGTAGCTAATCTGTAATTGTGATAATTGTATTATTTCATACATATAAAAATGAATTGTGTTTAAGGATAAAATTATACAAAACTAACTGTTGATTTCTTAAATATTTTAAGATTTTTATTGAAGGATGGCCAACTCTGGCTCTGTGCTCCTCAGGCAAAACAAATATGGAAATGCTTAGCAGAGAATGCAGTTTACCTCTGTGATCGTGAAGCCTGTTTTAAGTGGTATTCCAAATTGATGGGAGATGAGCCAGATTTAGATCCTGATATTAATAAGGACTTCTTTGAAAGTAATGTGCTTCAGCTTGATCCTTTGCTATTAACTGAAAATGGGATGAAATGTTTTGAACGATTCTTTAAAGCTGTGAATTGTCGAGAAGGGAAACTGGTGGCAAAAAGAAGAGCCTATATGATGGATGATTTGGAACTAATAGGATTGGAGTACCTTTGGAGGGTAAGTAGATAAGTACGAACTTGTTACAAACATTATACCTGAGGAAATTTTTTGCTTTCAGTGCATTTATCTGCTAGGAGAGGGATGGAGTGTTATGTTAACCTTAGGTTCTTGTTATGTTGCTGCTTGTTGCTGTCACTTTGGGTTTTTTCCTTCACTTCTTTCCTTTTACACTCTGTTACTGATATTTTACTTAGAATTTTTTTTAGAGGTATTTAAGTACAGTGTTACTGTCTACGTAACCTTCACTCTTCCCTCATGAAGTTTTCTCCCCTGCTTTTGGGAAACTTACAATAAGCTTGGCCTTACACATTTAATGCCAAATCACAGTGAGGAGCGAAAGAGAGGACTGTAATATGAGAGGAGTATGAAGGTATACTTTATTAGTTTAATATTTAATTATAACATATTTAAGTATCTTAAAAGTAAAATGCTGTATTATATTTTAGACTTACTTTTCCATTTTGGTAACATAAGTAAATCTTGCCATTCTTAAAAAATATCTAATCTTTGCTACATATTCTTGCTTTGGAGATGGGAAATTTTGCTTCATTTTGCTTACAAACTGTAGGTAGATCAAGATGTTTGCTGTGTTCTGTCATTGAAATCAATGGTTTTTTTTTTTTTTTTTATTTTAGGGGCATGTTTATTTATTTATTTGTTTGTTTGTTTGTTTTGTTTATACATGCACTGGGTACAGTCAGAAGCGCGGGAGGGTGAGAGAATTCACCAGAGCCAGAGCAGGGAGCAGAGCAGGCAGAAGGACCGAAGTACACTGCTGAGGGGAGCAGCGGGCCGCAGGAGAGGTCTGCGCGCCATGCGGGACCCTCCTCCGGTGGCTGGGGAGCAGCCGGGGATCGAACCGGCACCGCGGAGGCCAGGGGCAGGTTCGCAACCCAGCGCTCAACCGCTGCGCCACCGGGGAGGCCCGAAATCAATGGTTTTTAAACAGCAGTTACCCTGTAAAGAAAAAATTACATAATACTACTTGATATGAAAGCTGAGAATATACCTTTCCCTGCTCTATCTTTTGTTTTGTCTCCTTTCCCCAGCACAAAACTTCCTAGAGCTGAGAGGGTCAGTCTTTAAAGTGCTAGGTTTCTAAAGTTTGAAAACATGCAAGACATTTTTTTCCCCCATCCTTGCCTCCCATATAAGTTTTCCCTATCTTGCCCTGATCTTAGAGTTACTGCCTTGCTAACCTACTTGTTTGAATTTTGTTACTTCTCTGAAATGGACTGTAAATCTGTTCTATTGATAGTATATGTCTGGTCACTCACTGTGGTTAGGCTGTGCCACTTCTATCGTGTAGAAGTGCTGTGCTTTTTTTTTTTTGGTAGTCTGGAATACTTTAGCCCATCTCTGTGCAACTCTTTGTCCCTTTGCAGCATAACAAAAAGCAATTTAGATGGAAAATATTGAGTACTGTATTTAAAATAATTGAGGTTAAGATTTGCATTTAAGTGCAAAATTTAAATCTGTCTTGAATGTTAATACTGCAATTTTGAAACTAGGTTGTGATTCAAAGTAATGATGACATTGCCAGCAGAGCTATAGATCTTCTTAAAGAGATATACACAAATCTTGGCCCCAGGTTACAGGTCAATCAGGTAAGTATTGAATTGAAATACATAAAACTTTCACTATAGTTTAATTATGTTTTGTTTCTAAGATTTTGTTTGTAGTTTAAAGAAACAAAGTTATTGTGACAAACTCATTTCTTTCAGTAGCCTTAAAAGAAAATAGGTGTGTCTGTCTTCCTCTTAAAAGAAAATAATTTGCACCTTTATGTTCTTGGACATCAGTAGAATAAGATTGCCTTATTCTTTTTCATATTTAATGGAACTACTAGTGCTTAGTAGATCTTTTTAAAGTTAGAAATTTAATCAGTGGGTATTAAATTTTCTTAAAATAGTATTTAATCCACATTTGGTTGCTTACACTAGCTGGGTGAATTGTCATAAATTATAATTACTAAAAATGGTAGAATTGTTTTGAATATAATTATGTCAGAAAGTCAGAAATTTGACTTGTTTTGTTTGACATGCAGTCTATAAGTTTTGTGTTTTATTTTGTTTTTAATAATCTTTTTATAACACTTGGCTTGTTTTACTATTGCTTCCTTTTGTATTTCATTATTAGTTAAATATATGATGAGGTTGATTGTTACCTTAAATTTTTATTATCTTAAATTGGATTAACATCATATTTGATTTGTAAATTTAAAAGCAACTGATTTGTCTCCATTTGGACCAATTTTTACAGGTTGTTATCCATGAGGATTTCATTCAATCTTGCTTTGATCGTTTGAAAGCCTCGTATGATACATTATGTGTTTTGGATGGTGACAAAGATAGTATTAATTGTGCAAAACAAGAAGCCATTCGAATGGACCGTGTATTAACTGTTTTAAGGGAATACATAAATGAATGTGACAGTGATTATCATGAAGAAAGAACAATTCTGCCCATGTCAAGGTTTGTATGAAATTAATCAGCATTAATTACAATTATTCTCTTAGTTAATTAGAAAAGTAATGACAGATGAAAAAGTTTTCATTTTTGAGTTTCAGCCTCTACCTTCTAAAAATGCATGCATGTTACTGATACATTTTTATAAGTAGAGGCTTGTGAATTATAATTCAGTAAGACATTTTCACTAAGTAAAGTTGGATTTTTTTCTTTCATTATTTTGTTATTACTAAGTTTGGCCCTTATATTTTGCAGTTTGTCAGGAATTTTAAAAGGGAAATTTTTCAAAAATGTTTTCAGCAGATAATGCAAAAAAAAATTTTAAGTGATCTTTGCTAAAACTTCATTGAAATTAGTGCTCGCTTTGGCAGCACATATACTAAAATTTGAATGATGCAGAAAAGATTAGCATGGCCCCTGTGCAGGGGTGATATGCAAATTCATGAAGCGTTTCATACTTTTTTTTGCCTGCTGTTCCCCTCAGCAGTGTATTTCAGTCAGTCCTTCTGTTCTGCTCTACACTCTGTCTGGTGAATCCATTCACCGCCCCCCCACCTCTGGCCTGTGTCTCAGTTCTTGTATGCATAAATAAATAGATCTAAAAAAAAAAACTTCATTAAAATTAGAAACTGTAATAATTAGTGTTTATGTTTTGTAATATAAGGTTTTGTTTTTGTTTTTTTTTTTAGGTTTATTTATTTATGCATACAAGAGCTGTGGTTCAGGCAGAGGTGCAGGGGGTAAGAGGATTCACCAGAGAAAGGGTGGGGAACAGAACAGGCAGACTGACTGAAATACACAATTGAGGGAGCAGCAGACAAGTCAGAGGTCTACTGTATAGTGTGGGTTGCTTCCTAGCTGACCAGGGATCAAACTCGTGCTACAGAGGCTGTGGATTGCTTCATAGTGCTGTGCTTATGCCCTTGCACCACCAGGACCCCCTAAGTCATCTTTTAATGTTGAGTAAACATCAAATTAATTTAATACTTTAAATAAATTTTCTAGTTTGGGAAAAATTTTATAGAATAATTCCTGATTTGTGATTATTTAATAAATATAAAATTATTTCTTGAATATGATTTTTGTTTTGTGTTTTATCAGTGAGAAGAGAATATGCCAAGATAAAGATTTCTATAGGGATTTTGTTGTTAAGAATTTTTTTTTAATAAGAATTTTACTGTTTAAAGCTGAAACTCATCACTTCCACAATTATCAACAACAGTCTTAGTAACTTAAGCTTTTGTATTTTCAAATTAACTTATGTATTATTCATGTTTGTGTTGCCATTATATCATGAGTGGGAGCATAAAATAAACAATAGAATTAGTTATGTTTTGTTTCTAAGATTTTGTAGTTTAAAGAAACAAAGTTATTGTTACAAACTCATTTCTTTCAGTAGCCTTAAAAGAAAATAGATTTGTCTATCTTCCTATTAAAAGAAAATAATTTGCAGTTTTATGTTCTTGGACATCAGTAGAATAAGATTGTCTTATTCTTTTTCATATTTAATTTTTTTTTAGAGCATTTCGTGGTAAACATCTCTCTCTCATAATTCGATTTCCAAACCATGGCAGACAGGTTGATGACTTAGACATATGGTCTCATACAAATGATACAGTTGGTTCAGTAAGACGATGTATTCTCAATTGTATTAAAGCAAATGCAACCCATACAAAAATTGAACTCTTTGTGGGTGGTGAGCTGTTAGATTCTGAAGATGACAGAAAACTAATTGGACAATTAAACTTAAAAGATAAATCTGTAAGTATACATAATTTTCAAGTTTTCTCCCTAAATTAATCATTAAGGCTGTATTTAATTTTTTCAGAAGAAATTTTTTGAAACATAAGTATTATCTCTTCTGAGTTACAGATTTGTGTTGTAAACCCAAGTAAGATAGGTATCAGTCACACTAGTATAGTAGAGAAAACATAACTCTAAGTACTTTATATGTCTATTTCTAAAATTAAAGCATGAAATATTTTTTATCCATCTTCTGTATCCATTTGTGTATATTTTGTAGAAATATTTTACTTTGTCTTTGGTGCTAGATATACTGTCACTTGCAGGTAATTACAGCCAAACTTACACAAGTGAGTTCCAATATGCCTTCAAGTCCTGATAGTTCCTCTGATTCCTCAACTGGATCTCCTGGAAACCCTTGTAATCACTACAGTGAAGGTCCCAATCCAGAAGTGGAAAGTTGTTTACCAGGGGTGGTGAGTAGTTACTGTATACAAAGCATTTTACTACTCTTTAGGGACACAAAATAATTCTAGCGTGGTTCTTTTATTTTGAGTTTGCAAGTTTCGTTAAAAAACAGGTTGTTACATACAATTTGCTGTTATTCCTAGATAGACTGCATAATTGTTGCAATTTAAAATAAAATTTCCCTGCAGAAAATAAGATTTTGTTTATATATAATTCATTATAGTTCAACTATAATA